CCCCCCTTCTTTCTCATGTTCACCATTATCTTCCTCTTTGTCTTCTAATGATCTGTTTTATCACCAGATTAGTTGTGGTGCTTACTGAATTAAGCTTCATATTTTGATTTACCATAAGAATATCAGAATGTGGTTTGATTGGTGCGACCTTATCTCTTGCAGCAATATATTCACACCCTTGAGGCTTCACTTCAGGAAGAGATGTCCCGGCATGCTCCTCTGTATGGGGCTGGTTTGGAAGCTCTATCAATGAAGGAGTTGGAGACGCTGTCACGCATTCATGAAGAAGGGCTCAGGCAGATCCATACCCTTCAGCAGCAGCGTAAAAGCAGTCCAGCGGGCAGTCCTCTCGTGAGCCCTCACGCCCTCCAACACAATCATGGGTTATATCCTGCGACACCGCCCCAAATGGCCGTCGGATTGCCTCCTTCACTCATCCCAAATGGTGTTGGGATCCATAGCAATGGGCATGTGAATGGTGCTGTTGGACCCTGGTTCAACCATTCTTAGATCCTGGGGTCATAGCTCTCTCCGTGCCGATGCAGGCATTTGTTCGCCCAATTGAGTTGGGTGAAATTGCTATTTTTTTGAGTTACTTATTGGCATTTTGGCTGTTTGAGCTGTTGGAACCGAGTGGGATAGAAAAATAGAAAAAGAAAAAGAAAAAGGAATAAGATGATGAAAGATGCAAGGCGTAGGTAGGCTATGAGGGAGTCCGATATAACTAACAGTAACAGTTGCAAATGCCAATGCTCATTTGCCCCCCTTCTTTTTTCTTTTTCATTTTTCCCTTAAAGTTAATTATAGGCTTTTTGAAATTTTTTGTTAATCATGTGTTCAATTTATTTTTTGAAGCTCATCTCTTTACTCTTCTCAACTTCTTTTATCTTCACTTAATTTTAGGGTCTTTCAAGGGCGAGGCAGTTTATCTGTTTTGTCATTGAGGCAAACCAACTATTCGATCAATCTCAGCCCGAAAGGAAATCAATCACTCGATGCCCACGATTAAACTTCTGGGCCGCATTTTATGTCATTTGTGTCTGTCTCTTTCCTCACGTACGTTTTAGCCCTAGAAGAGGCAAGACAACACAGACTACAACAGTCCTGTATGGGGCCCTCTTCCTCGAAGGTAAAGAAATCAACGGCTAGGTTATGACTCAGCCGGATAATGATTATCACAAGATGGGATCGATTTGCGTTATCCTTGACTAAACTGCTAGCGTACCGTGAGGGTTAGGAAACAGACTTAAATTACTTTGGAACCCAAAAGACAAAAAAGAAGAAAATGGAGCCAACTTTGCTACATTGATCAAAAGGAAAACAAAATTTTTACATGCAACCTGAAGCCCCTTTGAAAGTGCACAAGATCAATTTGTACAGTTGAACCGCGTGGATTTGTTGTTGAATTGACACACCCATCTTAATTACGTGAAAGGAAAATATTTGTGTAATTTGCTTCATGCATATCATAATTTTGTTGACACCTCACTATCAATCAAATATACAGATACATATTACTAACTATTTTCCGCAGAAAGTCAATGGTCCATGTCAAAATGCATTACCTTAAATTTCGTTATTGTATAATATTATTATGTTAAATTACAGGTGAAAGTAGATATATATTGAACAAAAGAAACACGTCATCCATAAGCTTTGCTATTTCATCGCATGCATCTAGAGCGAGAGAGAGAGAGGACTAAAATTTGTGACATAATTTGGTGACGTGTGTCAGTGATTTGCAAGGGGGGTTTCCATGGCAAGAAGAGGGAAGAGGGAAGAGGGGAGGGATCCAAGAAGGTAGGAAATTATGTGGAAATAAAAGAGCTCTATCTATGACCAAGTTGTGGGAGAAGAAATAATCAAAATAAAACGTGGCCAGATAAATCTCATTTGACTTCTCTACGTGTCCCTCTCGCACTAGGAAAATTATACTTTTTGTATGATTTGTCTTCGAACTCATCACTTCTCCACACACAAACAAATAAACTTGCCAACCTATTTAAGCTAATCCCACCCCTCATTTCACAATCACCCAAAATAGTTATCGCCAGCCAGAACCCAGCAATCTCTCTCTCTCTCTCTCTTGCATATATATATTTATTGAGAGATTAATTAATTTGTTGCTCATAAGCTAAACCTCATTTGTTTGTCAAGAGAGAGAACTGAGATTCTCTCCATTCCTCTCTCTCTCTCTCTCTCTCTCTCTGTGGCATTGCTGGGCAAATTGGTCATGCGCTAAGCTTGTTCCACTACTAGCCACTACATTACCTGTGTAAGCTGAACATTTTAGCTTTTGCTTCTTCTTTAAAATGAATGCAATTGTATATCCAAAACCCATTGCAAGTCAAATTAGCTACTTGATCATGTATGTATATCTGGAACTTGGATATACAAATATGATGATCAGATAATCTCACTTTAAATTTGTTTTGGAAATTGTCTCACTTTTGCTCTTAAGTTCGGCCGAAATTGTTGCATTAATTGTAGTAAACGTGTTTGTAGTTGCTCTAACAATTATTTGAGCATATCCATATCCATCCATTTAAGCATGTGTTTGAGTTGTTTTGCCAAAATTTGCGGTCAGCTATATATATTTAAGTTTGTTTTACAATATTTTACAGCCTCAAATCCATTTTTTGGATCTTTTGACTCATTATTCCTCCCTCGTGTTTGACCTTCTCTCTCTCTCTCTCTCTCTCTCTCTCTCTGGTGCATGTGCAGCATGAAGAAAATTTCTTGGCCTTACTTTGATCCTGAATTTGATAATCTCCCGGAGAGGATATATGGCCCTACGTAAGTGATCGAAATTTCCAGTTCTCTTGAACCCTGGTCTCATGAGCTCTGGAGGCTGGAGCAACATTTCTGATTTAGCTTAATTGATTTGCAGGTGTAGAGTATGCATTGACAACGAAACCTGGGAAGATTGCACAATAATAAAGGTTTGTAAATTAATTATAAATAAATTAGTTAATTAATCCAGCCAAATATTTGTATGATGAAGTTCATGATAGTATATGATGTGGTGCAGGTGGATAGCGTGAACAAGCAAGGGCTTCTCCTCGAAGTGGTGCAAGTATTGACAGACGTGAACCTCACCATCACTAAAAGTTATATTTCTTCTGATGCAGGATGGTTCATGGATGGTAAATATATATTATATATATGCATGAATTCTCTTATATATATTTATATGATTCAATTAATCCAAGTACTTTTATTTCATAAAATAATCAATATTTTATGACCAATAATAATTTGTGCGCGTGCTTTGAATTTGCAGTGTTCCATGTGAAAGATGAACACGGCAACAAACTTACAGACCAGAATGTCATCAACTATATCCAGAAGGTGATTATATTATTTGGTTTCTTCATGATCAATGAGTTTAGTTAATTAATATTATTGACTTTGGTAGAGAGGCCTTGATAAATGATTTTGCATATATATCATCACAATGTCAACACTAACACGCTTATAATTAATTAACTCTGACCTAATGATGCAGGCCTTAAGTACAAGCACAGGCACCCCGGACTCAGCCAAGGCCTATACAAATAACAACCCTACTTTATTCTCACCCACAAACCCTACCGACCACACCACCATCGAAATGATCGGAACAGACCGGCCCGGTCTGTTCTCTGAGATCTCCGCTGCCCTAGCTGACCTCCATTGCAACATAGTAGAAGCCCATGCATGGAGCCACAATGCCCGCCTCGCCTGTGTGGCTCAAATCTCCGACCAATCAACTGACCACAACCCGCGCCGCCTTGCCACCATTGAGGACCACCTCATCACCGTTCTCCGTGCCACCACCTCCCTCAGCCCGTGCGGGAAGGAACCCAATAATGGCCAACAAGAAGTAGAGACCATAGGGCTCTTGGGATCAGGAGATCTTAATTATGTTCATCAAGGAACCATGAGCATCAATGTAGAGAGGAGGTTGCACCAGCTCATGCTTTCTGTCAGGGACTTTGATGGGCCCAATGACGGGCCTGAAAGCTCGCCTAGGACGCCGTTGGGGTTGTACAGTGAGGGGGAGAGGAGGAAGACGGTGGTTTGGATTGAGAGCTGTGAGGAAAAGGGGTATTCTATGGTGAGTATTGAGTGTAAGGATCGGCGGAGGCTCATGTTTGATACTGTGTGCACTCTCACTGACATGCAGTATGTGATCTTCCATGCTTCTGCAAGTGCCCAGGACGGTTATGCCTTTCAGGTACATATTCATATATTCTTGATCACTCACGATGTATCTTATTTTGTATCATATTTACTGATCACATTGTCGTTCGGTACTGATTCTCTAATAGATTATCTCTCTAGTAATTAATAGATGTACAGTTTGACTTGTTTAATTTAAACGGTAAGTAAGTGAGTCTCGTTTTGATCATTTTGAGAAACGATGAACAAGGTGACTAAATTGGATATGGGGGACTATATTAACTAATGTTGTTTTCATAGGAGTATTTTATCCGACATATCGACGGGGATGCCTTGTGTACTCAGAGCGAGAAAGAAAGAGTTATAAAATGCTTAGAGGCTGCTATAGAGCGTCGGGTTTCTGAGGTGAGTATTGTCTATTTTTACGAGATAAAAGATGTGATCTACAAAGTAACGTGATATAAGTAATAGAATAATAATTATAAGCAACAACATTAATTTATTTCTATGTATATATATTTTGACAGGGAATTCGGCTAGAACTGTGTGCAGATGATAGGATAGGATTGCTCTCTGATATAACTAGGGTTCTACGAGAGAATGGGCTTGTCGTTGTTCGAGCAGATGTAGCAACTCAAGGAGAAAAGTCCGTAAACGCTTTCTATGTGAGAGACATTTCAGGAAATGAAGTAGTAGACATGGACTTTGTTGAGTCGATGAAAAGGGAATTAATGGGTTCAAATCCAATAGACGTTCAAGTCAAGAATGACACACGGATCAGACCAAGCTCACCTGAAAGGTCTTCTCCTCTCTCTAATTTTGGAGACATGCTAAAATCTCAACTTGAGCGTTTCTCTAACAATTTTGCTAAGATCAAGTAGTGGTATACTATACGAATGTGTATAAAATTAAAATGATTGAATTCATGTACATACGTAGACAATAGGCAATTTAATTATAGGGCTGTACATATATAGATATCGAACCGTATTATTTCTAGGGTTGTAAATAATAATTTTAAGGATTGAAGGAGATCAATTGTGTAAATGCCATTTACCAGTGACTTATAAGCTAGGACTATCACTTGGATGATTTTGTACATAAATTTTAAGCACAAATTGTTTTTTCCTTTTTTTTCTCTTTATCAATAAGTAGAAATTGTATATATGTGAAACAATGTTAGTGTCAGGTGTTCTTAAAGTGTATGTTGTTTTGGCTTCAACCTATTACACGGAAATACATACTGTAATGAACAAAACTATTTATACCACATTTACTGATTGCATTGTTGATCACGTATGTTTCTTCTTCTTCTTTCAAATATGTAATCTATGTGAGAGATCTAATCAGCAATATAATCAATAGGGATGTAATAAATAATGTTTTTTAAGTACACCATATATAAATGAAATAAAACAATCTAGGCAAGTCTAAGGTTAATTCTCCTAAGCCACACAGAGTGCAATATCATATGAAACACATCAAACCTCTTAGCCGGCTGGTTCAACTCAAAATGTTTCCTCACAACCCTCAAATTCTCCACAAGCCACCTATACTTCTCCTCCGGCAC